CCGCGTCTCGCGCGACCACAGCACGCGCTCGCCCACTGTGCCGCACAACACAAGATGGTGCTTCGCCACGTCGCCCTGGCCGCCGCCGCGGCCGTGCTCGCCACGCTTACCGCCGCCGCTGCGCCCGCCGGATCAGCAAGAGTGATCTACGGCGAAGACAACCGGCGTGACTGGTATCAGCTCGACGCTCAGCGCCCTGTCGACGCGATGGCGCTCCACCTGCTGGAGAATGCTATAATGGTGCAGACGACCCGCAGTGCGCTCGGCAGCCCAGACTCAAACGGCGTTTTCCGAGTGCTCGAGTCTTGGCCTGAGAGTTGGCGATTCGGACCGCAGTACAACATGTGCCCAGGCCAGCGCTTCGTGCAGCAGCCGACGCTCGGACACTGCTCGGCCACACTGGTTGGGCCTGCTCAGGTCATTACAGCTGGCCACTGTGTCAAACGGCAAAGTCACACGGCGAGCTGCTCAGACGACGCATACGTCTTCAAGTACTATGTCACTGGCAGCGACGACGACGGCGACCCAATATTTCCGCCCATCACTGTCAGTGACGTCTTCTACTGTGCCTCGTACGTGACCGAGTACGGCGAAAGCGGTGGAGCAGACATCGCGCTCATCCAGCTGGATCGCCCCGTCGTCGGACGAGCGCCCGCCCCCTATCACGCCTCTCCGGTGCCGGCCGTGCCGGGCCAGAGCCTGATGATGATTGGCTTCCCTTCGGGGCTGCCTGCCAAGATGGATGACGGCGGGAGGGTCATTCAGAGCGGGCCCTCCACCTTTGTTGCGTCGACCGACGCGTTTGGCGGCAACTCGGGGTCGGGCGTCTTTGACATCGAAACCGGCATCATGGTCGGTGTGCTGGTCAACGGCGCGACCGACTATGTTGCCAGCGGCGGCTGCAACGTCGTGAATGAGCTCCTGGACTCGCAGGGTGGAGAGGGCATCACGTACGTCGACCGCGCCGTTCAGACGTGCCGCAGCCTCGAGGACGGCATCTGCGACGACGGCGGGCCAGGGGCGGACTCGGGGGCCTGCGACTCCTGCGGCGCAGACATCGCGGACTGCGGCCGTTCGGCGTTCTCTCGTGACTGCAACCCAGCGCGACGGAACTCCTACGTGCTGCTCACGGATGGCCGCTGCGACGACGTGCCCGGGCGAGAGCGCGTCGGAAGCGAGGCAGAGTGCAGCCAGGCCGCCCTGGAGCTTGGGTCGCTCTGGAGCAGCGAGTTGTACGCGAGCGTGACGCCAGAGTTTCACTCGGGGACCTCATCGAACCCGCCCGGCTGCTGGTTCGACGCTGGTGTCGATCGCCTCTACTTCAGCCCCGGCTCGCAGACCGGCGAGTGCTCTGCCGTCGCCACGTGCCTTTGTAGCACCGTGCTGCCGTCGCCGCCGCCCTCTCCCGGCCCGCACCCGCCAGACAAGGCGCCGACGCCGCCGCCGACGCCGCCGCCGACGCCGCCGCCGTACCCGCCTGGCCGCGCTCCAGCGCCGCCGCCGCCGACGCCGCCGCACACGCCGCCGCCGCACCCACCGCCGCACCCGCCTAGCGCACCCCCGGCTATCCTCGACGGAGGCGATGACGGCGCCTCCTTCGTGGCAATCTCCATTGCCGTCGGAGCGTCTGCCGCCGCCGTCGCTTGCCTTGCTGCTTGCGTCGCCTACCGGTGCTACACCAGCACCCTCAAGGTGGCTTCCCTTCATGGCCAAGGAAGCGGCAAGCCTCCGAAGGCTCAGCAGGCGCCCGGAACCACTGGCAATGTAGCGCAGAATTGTTGATGGTGATGCGCGCTCTAGCACGTGTGAGAGAAGAGACTCCTAGGAGAGAGAGAGTGACCTCCGGCTACACACTCTTTTACTTGCATGTTCATGAAACACGGCTCCTCGTCCGAGAGAGCGAGTACCAGAGACACGCCCTCTCTCCCCCTGCGCTCTACGCGGCTCACGGCCGGTATCGTCTATCGAGATAAGAGCGCTGGAGCGCTGCGAGCCATGTCACGGCACGCGAAGGAGCACAGAGAGGGGCTCGTCACTCAGGGGGGTCACCCCGACAGACAGGCTCCCAGGTCCTCTTGGTGATGACGCCCCGGCCGAGTTCCGCCCGCCTCCGGCTCCTCCGTCGCCCGAGCGCATCTCGCGCACTAAACCCGTGCGGGGCTGCACCGCGGCCACGATGGCCCGCGTTAGCGCTTCGCTGCGCCTCTTGGCTTGAGTCAGGCTTCGGGCCTGGCCTCACTTATAACCAGGGGAGTTTCTCCTTCTTGCCGATCGCACAAACGATGTCGTTCCTCGCACCGTGCCCGCCACGGCACAAGCTGGCCGAGATCGCGCACCGCCGCTGTGACCTGGCCAGGTCACCCCGCTTTGCGCTTCTCGCGCTCGGCGGCTTCGGCTTCCTGCTCGCCTCGCTCTGGCGCCGCGCGCTGCGTCGCCGAGGCCAGAGCGACCAGTCTCTGCCCGCCGCTCCTCCGGCACCGCCCGCCGTCCGCTCGGCGGAGAAGAGCCGTGTGGCGAGCTGCGCCTTTGCGGACGCCGTCGCTCGGCTCAGCATCGACACGTTCCGTGCGCTGTGCGAGCGCGCGCAGGTGCAGTACACGCAGACCTGCATGGCTGCCGTCGTGGCGCTCGACTCGCCGCCAGACGGGGGGACGCCACGGCTGACCGTGCTGTCGGTCGGCGCGGGGACCAAGTTTGCGCGCGCGGCGGCCGTCGCTGCCGACCGAGCCGGGACATCCGTCCGCGACTGCCATGCCGAGGTGCTCGCACGGCGTGGGCTGCAGCGAGCCCTGCAGGTGGCTCTTCTCCGCGCGGTCGGCGGCGGAGACAGCGGCGACGGCGGCAGTGGCGGCGGCGGCGGCGGCGGCGGCGGCGGCGGCAGTGGCTGCAGCGGAGGCGGAGACGGAGGCGGCGTTCGAGACAGAGGCGGAGGCGGTGACGGTGACGGTGACGGAGGCGGTGGCGGTGACGGCGACGGCGCGCAAGTCGCGGCGCTGCTGTCGCCTCCGGCGGAGGCTGGCGGCACGTGGTCGCTGCGTCCTGGCGTCAGCCTCCACCTGTACACCTCCTCCGCGCCGTGCGGCAACGCGTCCGTCCGCCGCTGGGCGAGGTGCGACGGATTAAGTGCGGAGTAGCTGCGGAGTAGCTGCTGCTCGCTACTAACGACTAGCTAACTGCTAATGAACTACTCATCAACTCCGCCGCTGGGCGAGGTGCGAGCCCGTGCTGGCCGAGGAGACCGCCGCACCGCTCGAGCCGCCGCCGCCGGCGCGACACGCGCCTCGCCGGAGCGGTACCCTACCAACCGCGGTACCCAAATCCAAGTAAAATGAAATAGGCGCGGCACGCGCCCCTGCACGCGCCCAAGCACGCCCGCGCCGAGGGCATGCTCTCGCTCTCGGTCAAGCGCGAGCCTGGCGCCGGAGAGGGCGGCGCCTGGCTAACTGCTGACCAACTGCTCATCCCGTTCCTCATTCACTACGCAAGGCGCGGGAGAGGGCGGCGCCTCGCACGGAGTCGGAGAGGGCAGCAGTGCGTCGCAGGCCGGTGGCGGCGGCGGAGGCGGGGCGCAGATCTGCGCATCAGGCACTGCGGCCGGGCCGCGGGCTGAGAAAGAAAACGGCGAGGGCGAAAAGGAGAGGTGGGAATAGGCGCGGCGCCAGGGCGGGTCCGCGGGCGCCCCACAAAGAAAGAAGTCCGGCGCCGCAAGCAAAGAGCCTCGGAACAGGCACGGCGCCGGTCGGGTCGGGTCTCGGCGTGATCCTCTCTTGCTCCGACAAGATCTGCCGTTGGAACCTGCTCGGCCTGCAGGCGCTATCTCCCTAGATCTCCCCAGATCTCCCCAGATCTCCGCATGACATGCAAGCGCTATCTCCCCATATCTCCCCATATCTCCACCTGACATGCAGGGCGCGCTGCTGGCGCACTTCTTCGGGCCGCTGTACCTGCGCAGTGTCGTCGTCGGGCGGAGGTACAGCCACTGACACACTCACACGCACGCACGCACGCACACACACACACACACACACACACACACACACACACACACACACACACACACACACACACACACACACACACACACACACCGCCCACACACACACACACACACACACACACACACACACACACGCACACACACACACACACACACACACACACACACACACACACACACACACACACACGCACACGCACACACGCACACACACCGCCCCCCCCCCCCCCTCCCCCTCCCCCTCTGCTACCGGCCTCTCAGCGCGGGTGCCAACGGCGCCGCGCTCCGTGTCCCGCAGCTTGCCCATCTGAGTCAGATGCCGGAGGCGCGCGCACGCTCGCCGGCGCAAAAATCTTCACCTCTGTCTCGCTGGCGGAACTCTGCCGCCTCTCGCCTCTCGGCTGCTTAGACCATGCCGGAGGCCTTGGCGGCGGCAGCCGCCTGCTTGAGGGCGGCGGCCTCCTCCCGACGTCCCGAGTCATGTCGGCCTCGTTGTTGAGTCCTCTGTGGCGTGCCACGGTGAGGACGTGTGCGCCGGTTGTCGGGTGGCTTGGGATGTAGTACGGGAGAGTCAGGGGGCGGGGGAGCTGAGCAAAAGAATTTGGGCCGGGGGGGGAGCGTGGTGGTGGTGGTGTGTGGGGAGGGGGTGCAAAGCCAGCAATTTTTCTCGTGGGCCAACGGCGTTCTATGCAGCATCTGTCGCTAGCGGCGCGCAAGTGGCCCGACAGCCGCGACTACACTCCGGCCCGTCGCCCGGCCTACTGAATGCAATGCCACAGCCAGCGTGGACGCAGCGGCGGATCTCATGGATGGTACCGGACGGCAAACGCGGCGCGTGCCGCCACCCCGGCTCTAAGTCCCGCGTAAAGCGGGTGACGTGGGCCTTTTCGGACGCAGATTGCCGCCGCGCGTGCGCGCAGCTTCTGCTTTGCTTCGCCTACGAGTACGCCAAGCTCGGCCGCTTCTCAAAGTGCCACCTGCAACTCGAGCCGACCGACTCGACCTACCCGATCCTCGGCCACTCCTGCTTTGCAAAGACATGGGACGGGCACGCCGCCATCATGGCGTTCCCGCCCTTCCTGTCGCCAAACCCTCCGCCGCGGCCGCCGTCTCCGCCGCCGAGGCTGCCACCACCGCCGCCTCCCCCAGCGCCGCCGCCGCCGCCGCAGCCGCCACCTCCGCCCCACCCGCTGGCGCCGCCGCCGCCACTCCCGCCGCCGCCGCCCTCGCCCTCGCCGCCGCCCTCGCCGCGCCCGCCGCCGCCGCCTCCGCCCACCCCGCCGCCGCCCCCAAGGCCGCCGCCTCCCTGGTCGCCGCCGCCTACGCCGCCTCCAGACCCGCCGCCGCCCGAACCGCCGCCGCCGCCGCCGCCAGATCTGCCGCCTCCCGCACTGCCGCCGTTTCCGCCTCGCCCTCCCTTTGGCCCGCCGAGGCCCGACCCGCCATCGCAGCCGCCGTCGCCTCTTCCGCCGCCGCCGCCGGTCCCGTCCGCACCGCCGAGCGCCCCGCCGGCGCCCCGCCCGCCGCCGCCGCCCTCGCCGCCGCCGCCTCCCAACCCGCCCCCTCCGCCTCCCAACCGCTGCCTTGCCCTGGTGGGGCCCATGGCGAACTTCGACACGTGCACCGACCTGCGGAGCGCGGACCTGCGCGGCGCGAACCTGTACCGCGCGACGCTGAACAACGTCGACCTCTCGGGCGCGAAGCTCGACGGCGCCGACCTGAGGTATGCCACGCTGCAAGGCGCCGACTGCCGCAGCGCGGACTTCCACAAGGCGAGCCTGTTCAAGGCCGACTTCAGCAAGGGCGGACCGCTCCTCGGCCCCTCCTAGACCTCTCCTAGACCTGCCCTAGACCTCTCCTAGGCGGACTTCAGCAGGGCGGACCTCTCCTCTGCCAACCTCTCCTCCACCGACGCCTCCGAGGCGTTGTTTACGGAGGCGGTGCTCTGGCGGACGGACTTTACACGAGCCAACCTCAAGCTCTCCTCGCTGCGGGTGATTCGCCAAGGGGGCGAGGTCACCTTTGACTACGCAGGCGCAGTCTCGCCCAATCTCGCCCAGTCTCGCCCCCTCATCTCGCCCAATCTGGCCCAATCTCACCCAATCTCGCCCAATCTCGCCCAATCTCATCCCCTCGTCTCGACCAATCTCGCCCAATCTCGCCCAATCTCGCCCCCTCATCTCGCCCCCAATCTCGCCCAATCTCATCCCCTCGTCTCGACCAATCTCGACCAATCTCGCCCAATCTCGCCCCCTCATCTCGCCCCCAATCTCGCCCAATCTCATCCCCTCGTCTCGACCAATCTTGCCCAATCTCGCCCAATCTCGCCCCCTCATCTCGCCCCCAATCTCGCCCAATCTCGCCGCAGACATCTCCGGCACGCAGCTGACGGACTGCACTTTTGTGCGCTCGACCTTCCGCCACACCGACCTCTCCAACTCCGCGATCGAGGACCTGCCCTAGACCTGCCCTAGACCTGCCCTAGACCTGCCCTAGGCCTGCCCTAGACCTGCCCTAGACCTGCCCTAGGCCTCTCCTAGACCTCTCCTAGACCTCTCCAACTCCGCGATCGAGGACAGACCTCCCCATATCTCCCCATATCTCCCCATATCTCCCCATATCTCCAACTCCGCGATCGAGGACCTTCGTCAAGCCGGCGCCCCAACCATCAACTCACGAGCCCGTCCACCAGTCCCACCAGTTCATCACTTTTGGACCTTCGCCATCTCCCATGAATCGACCCACCAACTACTTGCTCGCTCCCCGCCACTCTCAGGATCTCCGCCTGGCGGGCTCGCGCTTCGACTACACCAACTTCGCCGGCATTAAGGTCATCGACACGGGCATGGAGAAGGTGTCTGCGCCCCCCACCGCTCACCCACGCGCACTGGGCCTTGCACTCGTAATGCCGTGGGGCTCCCGTCGTCTAGACGTGGAGACGCGAGCCCCCCCCCCCCCCCTGCCCCACCACCTCGTGTGTGTGGAGAAGTCTACCTTGCCTTGCCTTACCCAGGTGTCTGCGCCGGGCGCGAACTTCAACCGGTGCGACCTCGACCAGGCGCTTTCGCGGGTAGTGGGGCACTTCAGCGCGGGGCCGGTGGGGCGACCCTGAAACAAGAAAACCGGTGCGTGCGCCGAGGCGCCCAGCATTTCTTTTTTAGATTCGCTTCACGGGCTCCGCGCTGCAGAACGCGACCTTCGTCGGCGCGAAGCTGATGGAGGCCAGCACATATCGACAGCACATATCTCCACACATCTCCCCACATCATTCTATCCCCATATGTTGTCCCCACATCTACCCACACGTTGTCCCCGATGGAATTATCAAATGATCACTTTGTGAGATTCCGTTTGTGTGAATGATTGCTCTAGGCCAGCTTTGCGGAGGCGGACGTCCGTGGCGTCGACTTCACCTCTGCGCGCCTCAACCTGGCCAGCTTTCCTAGACCTCTCCCAGACCTTTCCTAGACCTTTCTCCTAGTAAGACCTCTCCTAGACCTCTCCTAGACCTCTCCTAGACCTCTCCTAGACCTCTCCTAGACCTCTCCTAGACCTCTCCTAGACCTCTCCTAGACCTCTCCTAGACCTCTCCTAGACCTCTCCTAGACCTCTCCTAGACCTCTCCTAGACCTCTCCTAGACCTCTCCTAGACCTCTCCTAGACCTTTGCGCGCCTCACCCTGGCCACCGTCCGACGCGGCGCCCTCAAGCAGAAGCGGGTCGTTCACAGAGTGAACCAATCCTCGTTATAGGCCACCTTCCGGCGTGCCAAGATGGCCGGCGCCCAGTTTAACCGCGCCGAGCTCACCGACGCCACGCTGGACATGGCCTCGGTCCAGGACGCGAGCTTCGTGGAGGTGCACGGCCTGTGGTATCTCGGCTCGACCTCGGCTCGACTTCGGCTCGACCTCGGCTCGACCTCGGCTAGACTTCGGCTAGAGCTCGGCTAGACTTCGGCTGGAGCTCGGCTAGACCTCGACTGGAGCTCGGCTAGATCTCGACTAGAGCTCGGCTAGACTTCGGCTGGAGCTCGGCTCGATCTCACGCGAGGCGGCCGGCGCTAATACCCAAGGCCCTCTTGGGGTTACACCTTCGTCCCGCTCAGTAGCCTTCCGTCTCTTATGGGAGTCCCTTCTCTGCGAGGAGCCGATCCGCGTACTGCTACCACCGAGCTAGGTGCGCGGCCTCGGCAAGGCCTCCTTCTTCGGCGTCACCGGCAAGGCGTGCTGCGACGCGCGGGGCGTGAGCCTGCATGCGGGCGTGTGCCACAAGGACGTGTGGCAAAAGGTGCGGAGCTGCAGTCTGTGACGCGGCCCCCCCACGCGCCGTGTGTGTTGGGACTCTGTCCTTCTCCCATCCGCATCCCTAGAGTTGGCGTGTCCGTTTTCCTTTTTTACCAAGTGGTCACGACCCCTCACTCGCTCCGACCCCCCCAAAGAATTAAATAGCGCACGGGTGTCGGTGGTAGCGAGTGAGCCGCGCGGCGCGGCTCGGTGGGAGTCGTGATTTGTCGCACAAGGGATTCGATCAACGCCCGTCGGAACACTCACAAACATCGAAAGTGTTATCGTGGGTGGCCTGGCGTAATTGACGTATAAGTCGTGCTGGCGCGCTAATGGCGCGTTTGATATTGGGATGGTGTGAACTCGCGCCATGGCTCGTCCATCATCGAGAGGTCTGCCCCTCGCTGGGTGTCACTCTATTAAACAAACACGTGCGGCCCACCCATCTCCACCTCGCACCTGCGGTGTGCGGAGGCTGCGCAGGGTCGGCCCACCACCGGCGGCCGCGGCGCGCTATATCTACACATTGCGAGATGGTGCATGCTGATGCGTGATGCCTCTCAACAAACGGAGTGCCTCTACACGGCAATCACCTTCATGCTTGCGTTCAAGTACGCAAGGAAGGTGGTCCACATCGAGGACCGGAGACTGACCAGTCCCGTGCCCAGGTGCCCGAGCTCGCCGTTGACGGCACCGGTGAGGCCCGATTCGTCGGTGAAACTGGCGTTCCGGCCGCCCCATACGTCTTACTGGGAGCTATAACGCACGGGCCCTCAGCGGAGCTGGGAATAGGACCGCCGCAAGCGGCGTGGCGTGGAGCGGTTGAGCATCCCTCCGGCCGGGGGCCCCTCTGCGCCGGCCGGGGAGGCGTTGTTGCAGGCTAGGACGCAAGCGTCCGTCGCCCTTTTCAAACTCGGCGTGTCAGTGCAGTGCCGACGGAAGTCAACCACGAGTTGACACAAAAAGAATCTCAAAAACAATTTTGCACAAAGAAGACTGACGACCACGTGCCCGCTGGGTTTCAAGGCGCGACGAGACAAGGACAAGTCGCAAAACTTGCGCACCGCACGTCCCCCTCCACGCTCCGCTCTCCGTAGCAATGGGTGCCGCCTGCTCCAACACCGCCAACGCGACCGTCGCCACCGGCGCGTACGACCCGACCATCAAGGAGGCCTCCCTGAGGTCCTACGAGGAGGCTCCGGTGCCTGCCGAGGAGGTCGCGTACGCCTCGCGTGGCCTCGCGCCCGAGGCTGCGCCGGAGCAGGAGTCGCTGCTGCAGCGCGTCTCGTCCAAGATAAGCGAGATGATCGCGCCGCTCACCGAGCTGAAGTGCACCACCTCGTTCCGCGCCGCAGACGCGGCGGCGGAGGAGCCGGCCTGCAGTGACGAGCAGGCCGAGGAGCCCAAGGCGTAGACGCACCTATCCGTGCTGTGGGGAGTGGGGAGAGCCATGAGTGAGTGAAGAGCGAGCGAGCGAGCATGATAGCGTGAAGAATTGGTTCTGTGCTGCCATGAACGGCGGTCCCTTCTCGACCGACCCAGTGTTGCAAGTGGACTACATTTCACCTCTTCCCGATGCTCTGCGACGCAGCCTCATGGCCGGCCGATCGAAGCATCCGTTCCCGTCGACGTTCCCGGGCGCGTTGTCGGTGTGATGACGCGGTTATCGTGCGGGGCCAGAAGTTGTGAGTGAGGGGCGGCGGCGTGCTAGCTGAGCTAGCCGCGCCCCTGCGCCACCTAGAGTTGGCGCCAGCGCGGCCACACTCTTTTTTATTCTTCATGCTTTGTCAAGTGCACACAAAAAAGCCTCCGTTTGCGAGGCCGAGTCGTTGCTTCAAGCTACCGGCGGACGGCGGACGGCGCGGCGCGCCGGCGCCCCCCGGCGCGGGCCCCGGCCCCCCACAGTCACCGCCACACACCAGGCACCGCCACCGGCCACACCGCGCCCGCGCGCCCGCGGTCTCTCGGCTCTCGCTTTCCCCGTCGCTGTGCGCTCTGCCTCTGGCTGTCGACCTCTGACCTCTGACCTCTGTAGTCTCTGACCCCCCTCTCCGGATTTATTGCACCTGCCACCTCAATTCTCCTCTAGAGGTTGCTTACTCAGCTGAACGCAACGCACGGACGGACAGTATAGCATGCACACGCTCATATGAATCAGAACTTAATTCTACTCCTCGGTCGTCACCGCCCCCGCCCGCTCCCGCGCCAGCGCGGCGCGGAACGCCGCGTAGCTCGCGCAGCCCGTCTCTGGCTGCATGCTGCGCGCCCACCGCTCCTCGAGCCGCCTGGCCACGTGTGGTGGGAGGGAGCCGCCGCCTCCGACGCCGCCGCCGCCCTCGCGCACCTTTCCCACCACGCCCGCCTCGCCAAACACATACTCAGCCGGCACCCCCATCGCGTCGCGCCGCCTGGCGAACGTGAAGTGCTCGTCGAACTGCGCGCCGTGCGACCGCATGAACTCGAAGCTCGAGTTGGCCGTCGCCGCCTCGACCCGCGGCGCGTCTGCGCCGTCGGCGTCGTAGCCGAGCCAGGCGGCGATGCGGCGCACCTCGCGAGGCAAGTCCTCCTTCAGGTCCTCGAAGCAGAGCCAGAGCACCTCCTTCTCGGCTCTCCGCCGCCACCAGCCGAGCAGAAAGTCCCAGATGTAGCCCGAGTGCGACACGCCGTCAAAGACGCCGTCGGCGAACTCCTCCACCGTGAGCGAGCCGGGCGGCAGGCCGACGTAGCTGGGCAGGAAGTGGTAGAAACTGACGAAGGCGTCGAGCGGGTCCCGTGCCACGACGATATACCGCGCGCCGCGCGCGATCCGGTCGGCGGGCTCGTGGCTCTTGAAGAGGCGCGGCGCCGCCACCTGGTCGGCGGCGAGGTCCTGGCCGCAGTCGAGCGCCAGGATGTCCCACGGCACGACCTCGGTGATCTCGCCGAAGCTCATGTCGCCGCCCGTCCTCAGCTGGTGCACGATCTGCGTCACCCACGTCGTGCCACACTTTGGGTAGGTGACGACAAAGACGTCGGTCGGCCGCGGCCGGAAGCCCGCCGTGCCAGCCTCGGAGGAGGCAGCGGTGTGCATGCCGGCGTTGCGGGCACGGACGATGTCCATGAGGCTGCGTCGCAGGCTGCAGGTTTGCCCACCGGCCTTGGAGTCGCGGTTCCAGGACAGAGGGAGCGCGCTGCGGCGCGTTGCTCGAATTTCTTTTCTTTCCCTCAGAAAACAATTCTTTCCGGTATGAGGGGCGCCATCCGCATCCGCCCCACCCGCGTGCTCGCCGATCTGGCTCAGGGTCGCCCTCACTGCTCGCCTTCCTCTCCGGGCAGGGGACGAGCGGCACGTCGCTCGCTGCCCAGGCTAGGATAGGGTGCTAGGGTGCCCACAGGGCCCAAAAAAAGAATTTAGACAAAAGAACTCTCTCTCACAGCAGACAGGCTCGACACAGGTGCGAACTGGCGCGTGCTAGTACTATCACAGGCAAAAAAAGAAAGGGAAAAAGAAATGGGCGAACCCCGATCGCAGCACTTCGTGTTGGAGAGTCGAGATATTGAGAGTGTGACTAGGAGGGAGGGACGCTGCTCGCTGGGGATTCTCAAAGGTATACCCTTGAATGGCCGGATCCAGCCTTGAAAGTACGAGATCGCGCGCGCTTCGCGCGCAGCACCGCCTGTTCTCCGCGGCTGTGTGACGACGCGTGCCGTGTGCCAGCACAGTTGGGCGCGCGCGGCGCGACGGCGCCGCCGGCGAGGAGCGGGTGCAGCGGCCGCCGGCGGCCGTACCGCCCGCCAGCCGGCGCAGCAGCGGCCAGCGCAGCGGCCGCCGGCGCAGCAGCCAGAGCAGCCGGTGCGCGCCTTGCGAGGCGAGTACTGCCGCCCGGCAGCCTTGAGGCGGCCGGGCGGCAGTACTCGTTCGAGCTTTGCGAGCCGTGCGCGCGCCGAGGCGCGCGCGGCGCGCGCCCGCCCGGCTGCCAGTAGGAGGCGGCGCAATATGGCCTATAGTACAACCCTTGAGGAGGAGGAAGAGGCTGGCTGGCAGTGCTGTATGCCGCCGGGGGGGCAGTTTTGGGGTGCTGTCCCCATCCCAAGGGGCTGCAGAAGGCGTCCGCAGCCGGGACAACCCGCCCCCCCCCCGCCGAGGCCGGTCGAAGCCCCCTTGACCACAGCCAAGAGGAGTCCTCTTGGTGCTCCTGGCGGCCGTTCAAAGGTCGGGCGCGCGCCGAGGGGGGGGGGGGGGTCTTGCTTGCTCCACACCGAGCGCCATCGGTCCGGACCGGCGTGGTCACCGAGGGTCGGCTTGCACAAGGTCTGAGCCGCGGGCGCTCGGCGCCAAGTGCAGTGTCACGCTCGCGCTGGAGCGGGACACAATGGGGAACCCTCGTTTCCTAGTCACTCGGTCCCCCAACGGAAGAGGCCTCGCTCCTATTGGAACACTCCAACATCAGATTTGCCTCGTGCGTCCCTTTTTGAGCCAGAAAGCTATTTTCTTTTGGGTCCTGTGGGCACCCTAGCCCCAGCTCGACGCGCGGCACGACACCGAGAAGCAGGACACGCTGCTCACCTGGGCCGCTCGTCACGGGCAGGCCGAGGCGGTGCGGCTGCTGCTCGAAGGCGGCGCGAGCGCCGGGGCGGCTGACAGCGATGGCGCGTCGCTCTCTTACTCGCGTGCGAGGGGAATACCCCGAGATCGTCCGGCTGCTGCGCGACGCTGGCGCGGCTGTCAACCAAGCAGACTCTGGAGGCTTCACGCCGCTGATCGTCGCGTGCGAGCAGGGCCACCTCGACTGCGTTCGGCTGCTCCTCGAGGCGAGCGCAGCGGTCAACCAAGCCAAGGACGGCGGCGCCACGCCGCGCTATACGTCGCGTGCCTAAAGGGCCGAAATCGTCTGGCTGCTCCTCAAGGCTGGCGCGGCGGTCAACCAAGCAGATGCTGAAGGCGCCACGCCGCTGTTCATGGCGTGCCAGGAGGGCCAGCTCGAGTGCGCCCAGCTGCTGCGCGGCGCTGGGCGCTGACTTCAACCAAGCGATGAACGATGGTTGCATGCCGCTGATCATCGCGTGCCAGAAGGGCCACCTCGACATCGCCCGGCTGCTGCTCGAGGCGGGCGCGGCAGTCAACCAAGGAACCGCTAACGGCTTCACGCCGCTGTTCCTTGCGTGCCAGGAGGGCCACGCTGACACCGCCCGGCTGCTTCTCGAGGCTGGTGCTGCGCCCAACCAAGCCAAGGACGACGGCGCCACGCCGCTGTTCGCCGCGTGCCACACCTCGGCCACTCGAGGTCGCCAAGCTCCTCTCCTCCTACGGCGCCTCCCGCGCCGCAACGCCTTTCGGCACGCCCGAGGAGATTGCGAACAATCGCGGCCACGCCGACCTCGCCGCTTGGCTGGTCGCCAGCCGCGGCTGGACGCCGCTCCAGCACCTCGAGGCGTGCCCGAGACTAGCGGCCGAAGGCGTGAGCGCATTGTCCTCACGCGTATTGCCCCTCTTCCGCAGGCGCTCACCCTCGACCGGGCGCGGGCGCTGCTGCGCGGCGGCGCGGACTCTTCAGCGGGCGACCCGTCTGCCCTCGAGCGGGTGCGCGTCCTCTGCGCGTGGGGCGAGTCGGATCCGACCGCTGCGGCCGTCGGTTCCACAGTCGCGATCCACTCTCTGGTCTCGCGGCTCTCGATGAACGGCAAGGTCGGTGTCGTCGTCTCCGCAAGCGCTTCGACGTGCCGCTTCGGCGTGCGCGTGGCGGGCGAGGCCAAGGCACTCGCGCTAAGGCGCGCAATGTAATGGTCTCTCCCCGACTCGCCGGATCCTCTCTCTACACCCCACGCGTCTGCCCTCTCTCAGGCCGGCCAATCTGCAGCCAGCGGCCGAGGCGGTAGAGGTGGGCAGGCTGATCCTCAAGGCGGCGGAGTGGTCGCCGCAGTCGCACGAGCTCTTCCCGGAGGCGGCTCGCAAGTGGGCGGTCGAGGTGATGCGGCTGGGCTACCTGATCGCGTGGGACGAGGAGCGCTTCGACAGCCGCGAGGGAGCGGCTCCGGAGCTGGCGGACGTCTGGCAGCTTTGTGCTGCCAAAGGTGGCAGTGCGATGACTGCAACGGTCCTGAGTTTTCGTGGCAGGCCAACGCAAACCCCTAGACGCGCTGCGTTAGAGGCTCAAATCACGCCCTCACGACATGATATCTAGCGTGGTCAGGCGCGGGGAAGCGCGGCGGCGCGGGGAAGCGCAGCGGCGGCGGCGAGCAGGCGAAGTACGTGTGCGGGCTGCGGCCCTTGCTCCGATCGGCTGTGCCCATACTGCCGCGAGCCAGTGGGGTGGTGTCACATTATTTAGCGGGGGGGGGCGGGGGCCGATGCGTCGAGAAGAGCTGGCGCGTGTTGGCGCGTGTTGGCGCGTGTATGTGGCATGTGTGTGTATGGTGTGATCGGTATCGATGTGTGTGCGCGATGTGGGTGTGGGTTTGTGGTCGATATATTGTGGCTTTGTGGGCACGTAAACCCGCGCCGGGCGCGAAGTTCGCGGCACGGCCGCGCACAAGAAAAGCCAAAGTCGCGGCTCTCGCGCCAAAAAAATATCGAACCGCTCGCGCCCAACAACCCCGCGAGGGATAACGGAGGTAACGTGCAGACAGGCCAGCAGCCAGTGGGACGAACGAGGGCCGCGACGGCAGCTCAAGCGGGAGGGAGCGGAGACAGTGGGCAGCGAGCGAAGTGGGTGAGACTGATGATGCTCCTTCGACTTAGGGAGCGGTTCAGCTGCTGGGCGGGCTTCAGGGTGGTGCTCACGCGAAAAGGAATCGACGCGATGTACAAAGCATACAAGAAGAGGAGAAAGAGGAGAGGCGCCAGTGATGACGAGGCAGACGCTAGTGCAGACGAGGGCAGGGCAGACCCGGGGACGGCGGAGTCGGACCAGACGGCATCGGCCGCCGAGGGAACGTTGGGAAGAGGCAGCACGAGGAGGGCGGCGGGCCTCAACCGACTATGGAGGACCCGTCACCAGACGACGCAGGGCAGACGACGGTGAGGCGGAGCAGACTCGCGCAGGGCGAGACGAGGGAGGGAGCAGGACGTTGCGGAGATCAGCAGGAGGATGTACGAAGAGATTAGGAGCAGCAGGGACCCTAGGCACCATGTGGAAGACGGCTAGTGCTAGAGCCGTAGAGCTAGTGTCCCCCCCCGCATCGGCGATCGGGAGGACGACCCCGGCTAGTCGCCGACCACACCCACAAAGAACCCTGCACAAAGATCGCAAGGGCGGGGACCTGTTCCTTTTTACCCATCTCACAGTAGAGGTGTCCGTTTTTATTTATTTATTTACAACCCCGCAACACCACACCGCAGGACCGCGGCCTCTAGCCTCGAGCGGCGCATATGCTACCAGGTCACAGTATATGGGTTCGGGACGTATTCACAGCAGTATGACGGGGTCCCCTACCCCCGGAGTGTGAGTCCATATGGCTGCAGCGCGCCGCTCAGGTGGCCCTTCCAAGGTACTTGCGGTCGTCCGTGTCGACCTTGATCTCCTCCCCCTCCTTGATGAACATGGGAACCATGATCTCGGCGCCCGTCTCGAGCACCGCCGGCTTCTCTGTCCGCCCCTGCGGCCGACGGCAGGCCGGCGTGAGCGCTGCGACGACTGCTGTTCCGCGCGAAATCTCGGCGACATCTCGGCGACATCTCGGCGGACCTGCGCTGTGTTGCCGGCCGCTCCCGGCGCAGCCTCGACAACCTTGAGGGTCATCGATTTCGGCACCTGCGGAGATACAGCGGAGACACAGTGGAGCAGAGATGCAGCGGAGATACCTCGCGAGGGTCGTCGGTTTCGGCGCTTGATATCTCGGCGAGATCGCGGCGAGATCTCGGCGAGATCTCGGTGAGATCTCGGCGAGATCTCGGCGAGATCTCGGCTGGGTCGCTCCTGCACGTCGATCGGCTTGCCTTGCCACTTGAGGACAGTGAGCTGCATCTCCTCCTTGATAAACTCCGCCTGCGCGCGCGTGTGTGAGGGGGAGGGGGTCGATGCCCGTGAGGCGCTACGGAGGCCGCTGCACTCTTCCCCTCGAGGGCGGGGCTCTGCCTGTACACACATCGCATTCGCCTTCCCGGGACCCAGTGCTGACTTCTGACTGCCGTTGCTGTCTCTCTCCCTTCTCGACTGTCTGTGCTTGTGCGTCCTTGGCCCCGGGGCTGTGCTTTTGCCTGCACACACGAGACGTGGCCGAGATGTAGGTGAGGTGCAGCAGAGAGGCTCGCCCCCTCCCCCCCTGTCTGTGGACGGCGCCTTGTCGATGTCGCCCTGCGAGGGTGGGGTGGAGGGTGCGAGGGCGGGGTGGAGTGGGTTGCAAGGGTACGAACATATCTCGCTCTATCTGGGACAATCCCGGCTCACCTCGGCTCACCTCGGCTCACCTCGGCTCACCTCGGCTCATCTCGGCTCATCTTGACTCCTCCTCTAGGTCCTAGTCCCCCCTCTGGTTCCACCACCTCGCTCGATCTCGGCGCATCTCGGCGCATCTCGGCGCATCTCGGCGCATCTCGCGCCTTTGGGATCCGCTCCTCCTCGTACGTCTCCATGTTCATAAACACCATGTCCTCGCCTGCGGACGGACCGCCGAGGTCTAGCCGAGGTCTAGCCGAGATCTAGCCGAGATCTAGCCGAGACCTAGCCGAGCTCTAGCCGAGATCTAAGAGCCGAGCTCTAGCCGAGATCTAAGAGCCGAGACCTAGCCGAGCTCTAGCCGAGATCTAAGAGCCGAGACCTAGCCGAGATCTAGCCGAGATCTGGCCGAGATCTGGCCGAGATCGAGCCGAGATCGAGCCGAGGTCTAGTCGAGGTCTAGCCGAGGTCTAGCCGAGGTCTAGCCGAGATCTAGCCGAGATCTAGCCGAGATCTAGCCGAGGTCTAGCCGAGATCTAGCCGAGATATGTCCTCGCTAGCGTCCTAGCGCCGACTTATAGCCGAGATACGGCCGAGATACGGCCGAGTGGCCGCGGCCACGGCTGGCGATGGCCGAGGCGGCGGAGGCGAGGGCGGCGGCGGAGGAGGCGGCGGAGGAGTGAGAGGATTTCGTGAGAGGATGTCGCGGCGCTGGACACGAGAAAGGCGATTGGCGGTGCGAGAGTGGGTGCGGGTCGACTCGCGCACCGTCCATGTACGAGTACTGCATCTCCTCCTTGTCCACCTGCGCGTCTGCAAACGATTCGCCCGCCTTCCACGTCTTCTCGAGCGTGTTGCCCGTCTCGAGGTTCTTGAGCTTTGAGCGCACAAACGCGGAGCCCTTGCCGGGCTTGACGTGGAGGAACTCCTGCACCTGCGGACCAGCAGCCGTGGCGCCGTCAGCGGAGAGCGCGAGCCAGCATCGGCCGCGCCAGCTACGAGATTGGCTCCGGGTTGGCGAGCCGCTGTGTCTGCAGCGCCCGGCGAGGGCTGGGGCGCCACTTTCCAGACCGAGTTGTCAAACTCGATGGTGAGGCCCGTCTTGAAGTCAGCGGTCGTGCCCATTCGGACGGGATGCAGGCGGCTGTGAGAGGCGTGGCCACGCGCGGTGAGGACGTAGGCCTGGGCGAGAGCGCAGAGCGCGAGCATGGCGAAGGTGTTCGAGCGGCGAGTTGAGGTCGTCCTACGAGCAAGACAGTGTTCAAAAAGAATTTAAAGAATCAACAGACAAAAAGAATCTTACAACAAAACTCCCTCGCACAACACTGGGCACGGGACTGGCGCGCACTGGCACTAACACAGGTACACCACGCACAAAAAGAATTCCGCCAAGAGAGTTAAGGTCGGCGAAGTTGTTGAACAAAAAGATTTCAGGCATTTTTCTTTCTTTTGCATGGTTCACACGCAGACACGACACAAACAAATTGCTAATAGCTAAAAATCTCAGTGTCCCCGTCGCGACCGGACGACACCGACTGCGGCAGGCCGCGGGGGGCGGGGCAGTCGGCGTGCGCGTCGCGCGTGGAGGGGTTCGGCTGCCGGATACGTCAGTACGGTACGGCTCTGAGTCGCCTCTGGGGAAATTCTAAAGAGGAGGTGCCCTCTGTCCAGTGGTGCCACCCATGCACGACACCTAGACGTCTGAGCGACCCCCCTCCCTCCATGTTTACGCTGGCGCCGGTTCCATCCGAAGAAATGGTCCGCGCGCGGGGCACCTCCGGCGTCGGTTCTGTAACAAGTCTCACACCAACCCACGCAGTGAGCGACAACTCAACGTCCAGGCGGCTGCACAACCTGGCGAAACAACACGAACGTACGAACGGCCGCGGGGACTAGTGACTCCAGTGTGGCACAAACCCGAAACCCACCGGGACCAAAAGACTGTACAGGCGCGCGCGAGCAAGCGGCCAACGCGGCCGCCTTCTCGGGTCGGGAGGGCAGCCCCCTCGTGGCGCTATAGCGGCAGGGGGCGGGGGCCGAGCGAGTCGCCGAGTCGCCGAGAGGCAACACTATCCATCGTACACGCGCCTCGGTGCTGTCGCGGCGCCACAATGCAAGTGTGCAGGTTTCCTCGGGGCTGGCCCGAGGCTAGCTCAAGGCGTGCACGTGGGGATGACGCCGCCCTCGCCCTCCTCCGTGGTGCGGCCGCCGCGTTTGCACTCGGCGCACGGGTACACGTACTGGTTCGTCGGCAGGTTCTTGAGCTGGTTGTAGTCGAAGTAGTTGTAGGGCTCAAACGCAAGCTCCTTGCCCATCGTGGACGGCACGGGAACGTCCTCGGCCACGACCCAGTGCATCTTTGTCGAGTGTGCCTGTGGACGGGCAAGCCAGAGCGTGAGTATGGGCAATCAATGCATTCTGCGGGAGCGAATGGCGCGGCCGCGCACATACAGCACGATGTCGACCTCCTCGAGGCTCTCGCCGTTGTAGAAGTGCGAGATGTCGGTGCCGGGAGCGGCAGGCTCCGGGTACAGGTTGCCAAAAACCACCTGGGAGAGGGGGGGGGGGGGTGCTAACAGAAATGGGTGCGACCATTTGGCGGAGTCCAGAGCTCGCCTGGCCCGCGGGCGTGAGGTCATCCGGCGAGTACTTGGTGATGCCGATGTCGCTGCGGGCGAGGGGACAGGCGGTGAGAGGCGCGGGGATCAGAGCGCAACGGGGCAGCCCGCGCGGCCGCGCGCGCTGGCGCACCACTTGGTGAAGTTCTGGATGTGCAGGTACGGGTCGCCCTCGGGGTAAAGCACCGGCGGGCTGCCGGGCACCGACATCTTGTAGCCGCGCTTGTTGCCCTTGTAGTTCTTCTGCGTCGGGCTGTACACGATGAACTTGGTCGAGGCGTCCGAGGAGAGGCAGGCTTCAGGTGGGGTCCACTCGCTGTCGCCGTCGTTGTCCCAGAAGCCCTCCGAAGTGATTTTCGTGGCCTTCATGTAGAACGAGTTGTCGGCCGCGGCCACATACTGGCTCTGCAAAGGGGACACCACCACTCTTGTGTTTGAGAGGGTGGGCGCGGGCCGGGGTGGGGGGTGGCTGCGCGCGCGCCGGGTCCTCGCCGGCCTCCTCCAGGAGCGAGGCTACCGACTTGTACCCGGGCTTCTTGGTCATGAAGGAGTTCTCAAGCCCCTGTGGCGGCGAGGGGTCGGCGGCGCTGTTGATGGGCAGCGACGGGTGAGGTGAGTAATGATGGGTGTGGTGAGTAACGGGCGGAGGCGCACCGCAATGTCGAGGTCGATCTTGTAGCTCACGGAGTGCGTGTGCATTGCCCCGAGCGACGACTCGGACACCTTGGCACCCCAGAACTCTGCCATCTTGTCATTGTTGAGGTTGCCCGGGATGACGTAGGAGCCGACGGCGTAGCCAGTAAGCTGAAGCGGGGGCGGGCGATTAGAGGAGTCGAGCGGGCGAGTAGCCCATCGGGGGGGGGGGGGGGGGTTTCCTGCTTGTAGAAGTTGAACTTGCCGTCCGGCTCGAGCTCGAAGGTCTGGACGTAGTCGTAGTTGCCCACGGTGAGGATGGAGCGCACGTAGAGAGACGTCAGTGCGACGCCCTCGAACTTCTCTTTGTAGTGCTGGTACGCGACGTTGTTGGCGGGCGCCTCGAAGATGCACATGGTCGGCAGCTCGTCGTCCATGCTCAGGGCGCCGCCCCAGACGTAGGAGTTGGCGTAGCCGAGGCTTTTCATGAAGACCGAGCCGTAGGGGCACTGCAGCCCCTCGCGAAGCGTGATCGCACAGTTCCCCATCTCATCTGACAGACGCGGAGAGGGCTCCGGAAAGGGTCGGCACTGGGGGTACGGGAGGGGGCGAAGGGCAGGGGGCGCTATACGCACAGCCGCCGTCCGAGTAGAAGATGTCCTTGCGCGTGGACGCCCCCGAGTAGACCGCGGTAAAGTCGGCAGCGTACATCTCGTAGGCGATCCGCTCTCCCTTGAAGCGCAGGTTCGAGATGTGGATGCCCTCGATGGCGTGGATGTCGGTGTGGAAGTCCCAGCCCATCCACGAAACGGTGCGGCCCGAGACGGAGAAGCGGGGGCCCTCCGGGTAGTAGATCTGGGGAGGGATTGCCGCCTCGACGAATGGCGGCTCGGGCTCCATCCACGCCTTGGTGTCGCCGTACCAAACCGTGTCGACCGTGCACATCTTGAGGGTCCCGGTCTCGTTGGCGGCGAGGACTTCCGCGACGGAGTTGAAGATCGGGTTGCCGGCGCCCGGGCACCACGAGATGTCCTACACCACAGCAGTGCACAATGTGAGTAGGCGTCGCGCGGGCTCGCTCCGCACGCCGTCTCCTGCCACCTTGATAACGAGCTCCTCCGTGTCCCAGTCAAACTCCATGACGAATGTGACGGGGCCCTCCTTGAAGTAGTTTGCGCCGTGGCCCGCCCTGATGTCGATGCGGCCGAGGTACTGGCGGATCTTGGTGGTCGAGCCGGGCACGGACGTGGCGCCGCCGCTGACAGAGGCCTTGGGGGACCACGTCTCGTTGGCGGCGTCGAGGGACGCCAGCATCGAGGGGGACGGGATGAGGGAGTTGACGATCGGGTCCATCAGCGGGAGGAGCGGCTCGACCAACGCGTTGCGCTGGGCCCGGTGGTACTGGTCCCAGTAGACGAACGGGCGGTTCTCCCACGGCACTGTTCTCACGACGGTCGGCATCGAGTTCGGGCCGATGGGCATCTCCACCTCCAGGATCTGCGCGATGCGGAGGCGGGCCTGCAGCCACCAGAAGGTCGCGATGCGCTTCGGCTTTGGCCCGCCGGCGAAGTAGGCGAGCACCTCCGACTTGGGCGGCTTCTTGAGCGCGATCTTGGCAATCGTCGAGCAGTTCTCGTTCGTGCACTTGCCCCAGGCCTCGAACGAGACGCCCATAGGTGCCATCATCCCCTCGATCGTGAGCTGCTCCGCCACCGTCAGCTGGTCGAAGACCTGCGTGCGGCGGGGCGGAGAGGGCGCGAGAGGTGGAGGGCGGCGGCGGGACGGTGGGGATTGGCGCAGGAGGCGCGCCTTGTTCTTCGTTCCCAGGTCGTCAGACGTGAAGGGCTCGAGATCCGAGGGGCATGTCGGGACCGCGTCCGGACACGGAGATGGCGACGGCGCAGGGGCAGAGGCAAAGAGCGTCTCGCGTGCGCCCGGCGCAGAGAGCACGGACAGAAGGAAGGCGGCGACAGGAGCCATGGACGGTGGACGATGGAACCTGTGAGGTCAGTCAGGAGGACGGGTTCGGAGAACAGAGCAGCCCTGCGCTCGGCCGCTGAGCGGCGTGGGAGAACAGACAAGTGCACTCGGCCGCTGAGCGCCGCGGCGTCGCTTCAGGGGCTGGCGGTGCTTGCAGAGAAGGGAGACCGGCGAATCGAGGCCGAGAGGCTTGGGTGGCGCGCGCTGCTGCGCGCGCCCCTTCGTGTGTGCGCGCAGCGGGGGGGGGGATCAGCAGAGGAGCCACCTCTTGGACGCTCTTGGACCGCTCTGTGTTGATGAAAGGGGTGCAGCGAGGTCCACGTGTCTTGATTGCTGTAGAGAGTTACACCCCTACTCTCGTGAGGCTGTGAAAGCAAGAGAGAAGAACTGGGACGGCAGCACGGCCGACAAGGTCGCAAGGCGCGCTACCTACCCGACGCTCGAGCACGACAACTACGACCCCGCCTCCTCGCAGAGCGCATCAGGCGCGACAAGCGCGAGAGGTGCAGCGGTCCGACCGCTCCTCCGACGACAAACAACTCTAACACTCACACGTCATTTGGGGCCTGGAGCCTGTTCACGCGCGCGCGAGACGTGCAGACAGGGTTGCCAGGTGAGAGCGAATGGCGCGGTTCACGCCTCGCACAACAGAGAGAGAGATGCGCTCTGCATGGTGGGACATAAAAAAAACCGACGACTCTCCTCCGACCAAGACTCATGCGGCTCCGGCTCTACGACTAGCGAGGCGAATGACATTTTCGACACCCTCGACGACCATCTCGGCTTCTAAAAATCTCTCTCTCTGAAAGCACGCCCACCCTGCGGGATTGCACTTGCCACCGAAGGCAAGTGCGTCTGTTCACAGCTCACGAGAGTAGTTACACCCCCGAATCTTGCAAAAATGATGATGCAGTGAAGGAAAGGAAAGACCCCCCTGCCGGCCCGCCTCTGTCAGTGTGCCTGTGGTAGCGAGAGACTGCCAGTGAGAAACTGGAGGCACTACTTGTGGCACTGGGCGCATGCCCCTCACGTCTAGAGAGGCAGTGCAGGCGCAGAAGCGCTCCCAGAGCGGCGCGCAGCGCCGCGCACGCCACGCCGCGGGTGGTCGGACGAGCGCGGTGTGCGCCGGCGGCGAGCCGCGGCGCCAGACGTCGCGCGAGAGAGCGGCGCCGCCGCGTGCGCGCAGCAGCCGCCGCGGCAGAGGCGAGCCGCGGCGACGGCCGCACAACTGATAACCGCCATTCGCCGTTTTTTTCACACACACACACACTATCCAGTGCTCGTGCTCAAGTGCTCATACGAGCGTCATCTTGTAGTGAACAGGCCGAGTTCGCGGTTTGAGCGCCCAGCGCAGACCGACCGACCGCAGGGGGGGTCCGGTCGACGGCCGCGGAGGACCGCAGACCGGAGGGGGGGTCCGGTCGGTCGGAGCGCAGACCGGGGGGGGGGGGGGGGGTCGGTCGGGTTGGCTCGAGGGTCACACCGCACACGCTCGCCGCAGCTGTGAATAAATTAGTATCTCGAAATACTAGAGACACCAAGCGACCTCTCCCCGTCTAATCACTCCTCGTCGTCCGAGTGGCTGAGCTCGAGACGCTCTACAGGATTGGGTCGGAACACGAGCTCGTCCATGTCCACACTCTGGTCGTCGTCGTCGTCCATGATTAGCTTCGCCGGCGACACACTGTACCCGTTGACGAGCCGCTTGAGCGCGGCCAGCACCTCCTTGGCAAGTCATCGTAGTCATCAGAAGGGACGATGCGCGCGTACTGTGGAGAACTGGAGCGCTGCCAGAGCTTGTACAAAGCAACGGCAAGCAGGACCAGGCCTGCGACTGCGTAGATGCTCCACATATATGTGTGCGGTCGGGCTTGCTCGGGCCTCGGCGAAGAGTCTCCTTGGCGCTTGGCTGCGTGACTGGTTTTCATAGTGAAAATCGGCGATTTCGAAGCGCCCGTGGCGGTTCGCGAGAAGGAGGGCGGCGCTGTCTCTCAAGATGGAAGCAGGAAGCTTCCATCCCGGCGGTGGTTCGAATCCACATGAGCCGAAGGTGAGGGGGAAGGTTTGCCTGAGATCTGAAGCTCACCCATTTGAGGAAGTGAGGAACTGCTCGGCTCACCCCGATCATGCCGAACAAGCTCCTCTTGTAGCTCGATCGGTCACACCGCCATCGCCGTCGGGGAGAGGGGGGACTGCTTCGGCAGCGTGCACCTCGATCCTGCACCGTGTTTGTTATGACCCCCCCCAATGAACACACCAGTGAGGGAAGGCGAGACGATCGAGGGGTCCCGTACCATGCGGAATCGACCCTATCCAGTGCTCAAGTGCTCAGAAGGAGGGAGAACGTTTGTTTGAGGGGGCTCACGGCAAGGACACCGACCGAGGGGGGGGTCGGTCGTCACACCTCCCGCCGCCGAGAGAGCGACCGACCGGAGGGGGGGTCCGGTCCACCTCGGGGGCAGACCACCGACCGGCGGGGGGGTCCCCACGAACTAGGGGGGGTTGGTACAAAGTGACGCTCGTATCAAGCAAAAAGGTGTGAGGGGGGATGAGGAGGATGCAGGATGGGGGGGTCAGACTGCCGCCGACGGCCGAGAGTGTCGAAAGGTCCTTGACCGGCTTGCAGAGGTCCCGCGGGCCCGCTGTACGAGCCATGCCGGAAGCTGACGCTGTGCGAGAGCTCTTCAGATCGCTGGCAAGCAGCACAGCCGGTGACAGTCCCAGGGAGCGTCAGAGCCGCGCCGTTCTGCTGCGAAAGATGCTCGAGCGAGGCGTCTCTCCCGACGCCCGGGACCCTGACGACAAAGACCAGCCGACGCTGCTGATATCAGCTTGCTACTATGCGGACCTGCCATTGGTGAGACTTCTGCTTGAGTCTGGTGCCGACGTGCACTTGACTGACGCCAGCGGCGGCACAGCTCTCATGAGCGCCGCGCTCACACTTTCCCTCACTGCCCTCAGCGAGAGTGCTGCGGCGGGAGAGGTTGTCGCTATCCTGCTACAACTTGGAGCCCGCCTACCAGCCGAGCTGCCGCCTGGCGCCGCCGATCGGGGTTGGGGTGCGCAGTGGACGGCTATGCACAAAAGCGTCTCGGAGGTGGCGTCTGTCGATGGCCCATTCCGCGAAGCCATGGCTCGAGGCCAACCCCGGATTCAGACTCCTCGTGGCGACGTCATCATGAAGGGCCAGAAGGGACAGTTTCGAGCGGCCCCAGATGGCGGCCCGGACCTCGACAAGCCATGGATGGAGCACATCTTGGGTGGGTCAGCACAAGAGCGGGTGGTGGAGTTCCTGCAGCAGCACGAGCGGCAGGCTCGGCGGGAGGCGGCGGGAGCAGAGAGCCCCGCCGGCCGTCCCAGCGCCTCGAGCAGCGCCGTCGCCGTGATTCTGGCGCTGCTGCTCGTGGCGGGCGTCGCTGGCTGGCGCGCGTGGCGGCAGCGGCCGAGCCGAGCACCCAGGAGGCAGAGGGGGCAGCGGCCGGCGGAGAGAGCATTCCGGGAGCGGGCTAGGAGGCGGGCTGAAGAGAGGGCGGCGGCGGCGGCGGCTGCGGCGGCGGAGCAAGCAGAGGCAGACGGGAGGGAGGGAGAGGGGCAGCAGACTGAAGGTTCACCCGACTCGGTGACCGTCCAGTATCTGCCGCCGACGTCGACAGCTAAGGCGTCGGGCTGGCAGGTGAGGGAGCCGCTCAGTGATCCAGCCTCCATGTCCGATGGAGCTAGCGAGGCGGCGGCGGCGGAGCAAGCATCGGCGGTAGACCACGGGAGGGAGGAAGAGGGGCAGCAGGCGGCACCGAATCCGGCCGTAGCGGGGGCCGAGGATGCGGTTGGCGAGGCGGGGGCGGGGCATGCCGGCCGCTCCACCCCCTCGGCACCGCCGCCTGAGGTCCTCTCGCTGGCGGACGCTAGCTTCGACACCGGCCGTCGAGACGCGCCCGAGTCCACCATCGGTGGCCAGACAACGTGTATCGTGTGCTTCACTAGGCCGAAGTCGCACGTCGCTCTGCCGTGTGGCCACCAGTGTGTCTGCGGCCCCTGCTCCGCTCGGCTGCGAGCGTGCCCGTATTGCCGCACGCCAGCCGAGCGCTGGTGGCACGTCCGCGTGGTGTGAGATCGCGGTTGGGTTTCCGGGTTGCAGCCTTGGCGTACTCCGTGTGTCCGGTGTGCTTGGATGGACCTACTCAACTACACATTCATACATGTACCTAACGCGACTACACGGGAGTACCGAACATCCGAACTGCCAGAAGAGTGTGAACGACAGAGCGTGACCGCTTGTGTCGCGTCTCCCGCCCGCGCTGGGGCCCGGGCTGTCGGGCGTCCTTCGCCTTTGCGCGCGACACGCTCGCGGCGCCGGCCCGGCACACCCGCCTTACAGCATCTTTTCGTAGTCGGCCACCGTCATCGGCGTGGAGAACATGCCATACGAGCCGCCTACTCACAGCAGGAGGTGTGAGGAGACGCTGGTCACAGCTCGACGGCGCGCAAGCCGTACGAGCCGCCCGTGACCGCCTGCCCCTCCTTGGAGGTCGTCGCGCACCTGTCGGCACGCCCCCCGGGGGTGAGAAGAGACGCTGCTCGCATGGGCGTGCCCTTGGAGAGGCGGTCGCGCACGCGTCGGTCAGCGTGATCACGTTGAAGCCCTACGGAGAGGCAAGCTGTCCTCTGGCGGGGCAGCTGGGGGGGGGGGGGGGGGAGGGCAACCCTCGCGACTCCACGTCGAGTGACAGGCAGGAGCCCCACGGCATTGAAGGCGTGCGCCGCCCGGTGCGCGTGGGTGAGCGCACCTTTTCGTAGGCGGTGCGCATGGTCGACTCAACGCAGCAGTTGGTGAGGAACCCGGCCAGCACAACCTACACATCTCCCAGGCTCGGAGGGCTCTGAGAACGCCCCCGGAGGGAGCGGGGAAGTGGCGGCCAGCACAACCGTCTCGATGCCGTTCGCCTTGAGCTGCGCCTGCTCGCGAGGTGTCGCGGAGGTCTCTCGGAGGTGTCTCGGCAGTGTCTCGGCAGTGTCTCGGAAGTGTCTCGCGCCTCGAGGTCAGTGCCCGGGAAGGCGTCGAGGCCCCTTTTGTTTTGGACGACGACGTCGCCCGGCTGCGGCTGCATGGACGGGTGGAAGTCGGCGTTCCAGCTCCCCTCGGTGAAGAGCTTGTCGCCGGCGCATCCCGCGAGGATGCCAAGCCCTGCCCACAGACCAGTGTGATGAAGAAGAATTCTACGTGGCGAAGAAGAAGCGACGTCCTCCTGGCGCTGCGCGCTGGTCTGTGAGAAGTTGAGGTGCGGGATCCGGAGGCACTGGGGGTGGGGGAGGGGGCTACCCGCGGGCCTAGATCGTCCGCGCGCGGGCGGGAGGTATGTTGAGGCATGGAACGGTGGTTCAAAAGAGACGGCAGGGAGGACGGCGGTGAGGTGTGTGAGGACACAGACCTGTTCACAGTCAGAGGCGTGAAGAGACGCGCTCGCAGAAGGAGCAGGATGTGCTGCGAAAGCTTCCCTTGTTCGGGTTGTCGCTCGCGTCCTCCTTGAAGCTGATCGGTGCGTGGAAGACCTTTGCGCCGGCCGTCCGTGCCTGCGCCGGCCACGGGCGGGAGGAGAGGGCTAGGAGGGAGAGCCGCGACAACCACGGGGTAAGGGGGCGGAGCAGAGGGCCGCGGGGCGAGAGAGCGTTGCCTCTCGACGCCGCAGGGCGGCGGGCGAGGCGCGGCGGGAGGCGCGGCGTGCAGCGCTTGCGCGCCTTGCTCGCGAGTGCCGAGCTCTTTTCGAGCATGCCTGTCTCGTCCATGCATTCCTTGACGGCGCCGTGGAGCTTGCCGCCCTCCGTCGTGAACTGCGAGCAGGCGGGAGGAGGCGAGGTGGGCGGGAGTGTCCGACCCAGCTTGCGGCAGACAGACGCCCACTTCGTTTTGGTACTCAATGAAGAGGACCGCGGTCTTCTTGGTGTCCACGGAGGTGCCGCCCTTGGCCTCGGCGGGCGCGAATGTGCGATCAGCGGACATGACTGCGGGCGAGCGGCGAGAGGACACGACCGGCTGCTGGACGACGAGCGCGGCGACGGCGGCTGTGCACAGAAGTGCAATTGACATTTGTCTCGATTTTTTTTCACGCCAACAAGCCATCGGCGGCGAGGGCGATACGTATGGTTCTTGCACTTGTGCAAGATTGGGCGTCTTCTGCCGCAGTCCCCTTGATGGGAGGCCCCAGGGTGGGGGCCACCTCGAACCCCCGGCCAGGGATTCGAGCGGAGGGTGCCCCGGATTCATCTATCCGTTGGGCCCCGGTACATTCATTAGAACTGATCACTTTGCGCAGCAGCCGTCCCTTCGCCGACTGGACGGCAGTGCGCTGCGTTGTCGCTCTGTCGTGCACGCTCTCGTGCCTCGTTGTTGTGACACGGGAGTAGAGTCGAGAGGTAGCCCTCGACGAGACGACCGGCGCTGCGATGCCAGACCTCACTGCCGCCGAGCTCAGCATTCCGGCCGAGCAGCACCCCGATCCCGCAAAGCCACTGGTGATACCCGTCGACTCAACAGTGGTGGGCTCTACCCTGCGCTTCATTCCGTGGTCTGTGGTGGGCAATCCGGCCTTCCTCCAGCTGCCCCCTCCTCCTCCGGGGATGCAACCGTCGTGGGTCCAGATTCCGCAGTGGGTCGCCATCAGTGCGCTGCTCCCCTTCAGTGAGCCCGAGCCCGCTGTGGCCACCCACTTTGACAGGCTCAGCGTCTTGCGGCTGGCCGTATTGGCCGCGGCTTGGCGCCGCATCCTCGGCGCCTTGTCCGACCTCGGCGTTTTCAGCACGGTGCACGTGGATGAGGATGCGTTCCGTACGGTGTGCATCCAGGCTCTGCACTCCCGCCAAATCCCGGTGCCCGAGCTCTATCTGCAGTGGGGCGATTTGGGGTACTCTGAGGCGATCACACCCTTGGGACCAGCGCCATCTGCAGAAGCAAAGGCCGTCGACTTCTTGCAGTACGCGACAGTCGGGGCTCTTTGCGACCCTACGGCCGACGTCCCGTTCGCAGCCCTGTCTGACATGACCCGCTGCTTACGCCAGGGCGCTCGTTGCTCCTCCGTCTCTTTGTATCTTCCATACTGCATTTATCAGAAGACGTATGGTTCTTGCACTTGTGCAAGATTGGGCGTCTTCTGCCGCAGTCCCCTTGATGGGAGGCCCCAGGGTGGGGGCCACCTCGAACCCCCGGCCAGGGATTCGAGCGGAGGGTGCCCCGGATTCATCTATCCGTTGGGCCCCGGTACATTCATTAGAACTGATCACTTTGCGCAGCAGCCGTCCCTTCGCCGACTGGACGGCAGTGCGCTGCGTTGTCGCTCTGTCGTGCACGCTCTCGTGCCTCGTTGTTGTGACCCACCCTGTCCCACCCGTGTGTGATCAGTGTCTACGGAGGGAGTGTCTTCGGCTCACGCCAGGGCGCTCGTTGCTCCTCCGTCTCTTTGTATCTTCCATACTGCATTTATCAGAAGACTGTGCCGAATTTGGACGCTGTAAACCACGGAGCCGCTAAAGCACTCTCGAAAGGCAAAGAATTAACCTCCCTGTACCCCGTTGTTCCCGGGTACTCGCTCGCTGCACCACCCCACCAGTCCGGCGAGGGCCCGGCGCGGCGGAGGCGGCGCGACTGCAGTGCGTAGGGCGTGCTCGTATGCTACTGTCCCTGCCAGCGGTCCCGTCACTCATCGCGGCGCCGCTGCTCCCAGCGACCCGACCTTTGCGGGCTGGCCCTCTCGCGTCGAGCCACACGGTCGACGAGGAGCAGCAGCAAAGGTCAGAGCTCCACGCGTTGCTCAAGTCGCTCGAACCGTATGCTGAGCAGCCGCTCGAGGACGCAACGACGCTGCCACCAGCTGCGTACACGAGCACTGCGCTATTTGAGCGCGAGGTCGAGACCATCTTCCGGCCTGGCTGGTTGTGTGTTGGTCACGTGTGCCAGGTGCGGGAGAAAGGCGACTACGTGACCCTCGACCTGCTCGGCGAGCTCCTCCTCCTCGTGAATGACGGCACGCGGCTGCGCGTGCTCTCGCGCGTCTGCACTCACCGTTGGGCCCCCGTGGTCGGCGAGGGCCGCGGCACCTGCAAAGCGTTCACCTGCCCGTTCCACTTTTGGAGCTTCCGACTCGATGGCTCGTGCATCAAGGCGCCTCTGATGGATGACTCGACCGCTTTCGATGCGATCGAGCACCCTCTTCACGAATATCGTTCCGAGGTTGTGGACGGCTTTGTGTACGTCAACCTGGACGGCGCCGCGCCGCCACTCAGCAGTCAGCTTGCGGGCATGAGCCAGCGCCTCGTCAGCTGGCGGCCCGACGAGATGGAGTCGTACATCGAGCTGACCTACGACTGCCCCTTCAACTGGAAGATTGTCGTGGAGACCTTTATGGAGTGCTACCACCACCTCGGCGCGCATGAGGCCACATTTGAGCCGAACTTCCCAGCCAAGCTCTCGTGGACCGAGGATGCGAGGCCGGCGTGGACGGTCGGCCACGCCAAGCCGCGCCCTGGCCGTGAGGTGTCCGCCTTCGAGGCAGGGCTGCCCCGCTTCCCCCACCTCGAAACGGAGGCGGAGCGTCAGGCCTTTGCCCTGTACAACGTCTTCCCGTCGCAGCTGCTGCACGCGATGCCGGACCGGGTCCTCTGGTTCCGGCTGCAGCCGCTCTCGGCGGAACGCACCGTGGTCACCACCTTCTGCCTCGTTCCGCCCGGCACGATGCAGATGGAGGACTTTGAGGCGACCCGCGACGAGCAGCGCGAGCTCATGGACAAGATCAACCGCGAGGACATCGCCGTCAACGAGATGCAGCAGGTTGGCGCCCGCTCAGGCGCCGTCCGGCCCGGCAAGCTCAACTCGAAGCTGGAGAAGGCGCTGTGGCAGCTCAACGCGTTTGTGGCGCGCGCCGTCTGCGCGCACTAACGCGTCCGCACGGCCGTGTCGAGTCGGAGTCGCGACGTTCCCGTCTCTCCGTCACGGTAGGGATCGATAGGGAGGGAACCCCACCGCGGCACCGGGCTTCCGAGAGGGGGGGTTGAGCGAGGGCTCCCCGAGGTGTGATATCATGTGCAGTTTTGTGTTGTACGATATCTTGCGCAGGCCGTAGCCGTAGCGGTAGAGGAAGACAGCGTGTCTACACTCCGTCTACACTCTCCTCTCGTCGAGAGTGCTCCCTCACGTTGTCCTCGGTGTCGGTACTTCAAAGTCGCCCACCGAGGTCGAGGCGAAAGAGGTTGGCCGCGGCGGCTCCACCGGCTCCACTTCTTTCGGGCAAGAGCGGCGGCAGCTCATGCGAAGCCCATGACGAAGCCCCGTCCCGCTCTGGCTCAAGGATATGCCGATCGCAAAGGCGGCGGCGACGGCCCAGCACAACCATCCCATGCCAAAATTGTCTACTGTCAACTGGGCGAGCCCCTGGTTTACAGCCCCCACATCCGTCCAGAGGTGGCTGTCGGCTGACCCGCTAGAGCTGCCGGTTGACACAACCGCCGCGGCACCGCCCGCGCCGCCGGCAGCGCCCGGCAGCCGGCGGCGATTACGCGGCGCCACCGTTGGCCGCGCCCCCGGCGCCTTTGCTGCGGCCCCATTCGAGGATCGCTCCGCCATCAGGCGCCGGCCGAGAAGAGCCACCGTGTTCTGCTGTGCCGGCGGTGCCGCCGGCGCCTCTGCTGCAGCCCCATCTGAGGATTGCTCCAGCAAGTTGGCTAACGCGCGCAGCTGGTTGGCCGTGGTGTACTCCACCCCAAATTGGTCGGTGAGAGGCAGAAAATGGAACTGGGCGGTGGAGTCGGCGCACTGCAAAGCGCCGCTAACAGCCGCAACGTCGCTGCACCTGAGATAGCGCAGCTCGTCGAAGCTTTCCAACGGGTCGGTTCTGCTCATGTTTTGTACCCAGTAGCTGAGCGGGCCCACGAGGCTTGGCCTCACCGGGAAGGCGAGCGGGATGCTCAGCACCTGCACCGCCGCAAAGAGATTCAAGCAGCACATAACTCGCGCGATGCCCTGATCGCGCTGCACCTCGTTGATCGACATGACCATCGCGCCGCAGCCCTTTTCGGCATAGCGGTCTCTCAGACGCCGAGCGTCGACCGCTATCGATCCGGGAATCGGCTCGAGGAAACTTGCGGCCTCCGGGTACGCGATGATGGTCTCGTTTTTGAGATTCTCATTTAAGCAGATCCGTAGACTCGCGTCGACAGCTGCCTGCATCGAGTCGATATACGTGTTTGTCTCAAAGGAGATGAGGTTTGCGGCGAGATTCGCGATGTACGCGTTGACCAGGAGGAAGAGCAGGATGCTCCATCCCAGCCACAGGGTTGTCTCGCCTGGCCTATCCCCCTTTGTGCCAGGCAGCCCCACCGTCATGTGCATCACCGCCTGCACAAAGCTCTGTAGCCACACCCGCAGCCACCATGCTACTCTGCTGCATCGCGAGCCGCGCGCCGGCGGGGCTTCCTCGGACCACTCCCCATCTCGTCGCGGCCCACGCTGCAGCCACATCTCGATGAGCGACATGGCCACGACGACGCCAAGGATGGTGACCCACAAGTCCCAACGGAACGGTTCAAAAATCTTAAGAGAGGCCGTGAGGAAATCCGTCTCGACGACGGCGGGGCGCGGCACAAAGAGGTATACCTTGTCCTGTCGAATCGGGACCGAGAATGAAACGATGTTGGCGCGCTCGGTCGTCACCCAAAAGTCGCTCGCCGCAAAATCAGCAATTCCGGTGGCGACGTCGATGATGGCTGCGGTCCACGGGCTGTTGTTTATGATCCCCCCAGATCTCGCTCCCCCGCTCACGAAAGTCAGCTGCACGGAGAAAGGAGTCCTGGCCGCCAGCGCGTGTACGTAGTCGACGTAGGCGCCCACCCACGGCCATGAGTCATCCTCGTACGGCCCCTCGTATTCCGAGACCGGCGCCCCCTCAACCGCCTTGTAGTGCAGCGGGTAGCTCGAGGTCGGCACGGCAGCCTTCAGAGTCATGCCGTGCCCGTAATTTTCGTTGAGGAACCGTCCAAAGGCGTCGTAGTCGGTGCCCGGGGAGCAGGTGTCGTATGAATAGAAGAGGCCTTTGACTTTGGGGAAGTTCTGCGTCTCGCGGTAGGTAAGGTTGGAGATCTTGCAGAGCATCCCGTTCACATAGCACCACTGTTGAGGGCAGAAGTCGGGGACCGGGAGTTCTGGCCGTGGACCACAGTCAGAGCAGTCAGAACCCAAGGTACAGTCAGAATAAGAAGACCCCTCGCCGCCGTCGTCACACTCACCGTCGTTCGCATAGACACACTCATTTCCACACGGCTCCTGACAGCCCGGGTATTCAAGCTCGTCCCACGCTCGACAGACGTTGCTGCCGTACTCTTGGCTCGGACGAAAGCCACTCAGAGTAAGCGTGTCCGCCTCGTCGAGCTGTGAGGCCGCATCAATGCATGGGCACGCCGGATCAAACGCGAACACGCTCAGGTGAGCAAGCATGGCAGCGCATTATGCGGACGGACGTCCCCGCGTACCGGATGGAGAGATAAAAGAATTTTGCGAGAAAGAAGTTAGATGTCTGGTCCGAGGAGGGGATCTTTCAACTCGTTATGCCGAGACCGCTTCTCGTTCTTCTTCCGCCGTCTGGGCTGTGGGGTCGCTGCGTCGCTGCTGTCGCTGCTCATGTGCAAGCCGCGAGGTGTGTAGCCAGCCAGATCCAGCTGCGCAACGCGAGCGGAGCGAGCGAAGCGCCATGATGAATCTGCCTCGAAGGCGCGTGTGTGTGTGTGTGTGTGTGCCCACCGTGCTCCGCCACTGTGTCACCCTGGAGCGCGGAGAAGGCGGTTTCGCAGTCGGACTGGTCCGAGAAGCACGCGGGTACGAGCAGCATCGTCTTGGTGCCTCTCGCGTACGTCGTCGAGCCGCGGCTGGTAAGAGACTCGCCCGGCTGCGGCGCGAACCCCGCCTTGATTTGACCGTGGGTCGCCAGGAGAAACTCGCCGTCGAGCGTAAACCCGTGCACCTCGACTCCGGTCGCGGTGACCAGCGCCCAGCTGTCGACAGCACGGATGGGTAGCAGCAGGCCGTTTATGAGCCCTTTCGGCCGCTCATCCTCATCCGACTGACGCCGAATGTCGATGGTGCCTTGCCATGGAATGTCTTCCAGGCACGGGCCTGGCAGCATGCCATACGTGGCCGCCGACCGATCCAGGGTGATGCTGAGGCTGTACGCCTCGCCGAGCTTGCGCGCCTGCACGAGGCCTCGCAGAGTTTTGAGTCGCTCCACGCACCACGCCTCGTCGCGCGCCTGCCCGCGCGGGTCATTCGCCATTAGGTCCGGATAGTGCCCCGCATTCGCCTCGCCCTCGGCGGCGGTGTCAATCGGCAGGATGGTCTCGGGCGGAGAGGGCGAGGGCACAATCGCCCCGGCGTGCCAGATCCCGCTGCTGCACGTTGCCTCCACCCTGAAGGCGCAGTCCTCGACCCGAGGAGTCGGGCAGTGGAGGTCGTACAAGCAGGACCCGCTATGCGCACAGGCAGAGCCGGTTTTGGGAGCGGTGGAGGGGCATGCCGGCTCCGACTTGGACTCCGGCTGGGGCACTCGCCGCAGTCCTACACCGTAGCGGGTCAGAGGCACGGCGCAGAGGATAAGGGCCACTGCGAGCGGGACCCCAAGCCACCGGGATGGCGGCGACGTCTGCATTGCACCCCTCAGCGCCGCCGTAATCTGGGATTTTGCGCCGCCGAGTTCAATCGCCTGTCTTCATCAGGGATCGGACTAAACAGATCCGCTGGGAGTCACCCCGTCGTCGTAGACCGACTCCACCCTTCCGTACTACGTGCCTCCCTGTGTCTGCATGTAGCCTGGGTTGGTTGGGAGAGAGAGATTTTCAGTGTATGTAGCTCATTTTTGAAGACCAACAAGAAATCACGACTCTCACAGAGATTTGGGCTCGGCAGCTTGTTAGCCCTCAGCCGAAGCTGGGGCCGGTCCCGTAGCCGAGAGAGCCCGCGCCGATGAGTTCGCTCTTGGTTGGTGCCCGTCTCTGTCGTGCCATCCTGTGCCCCCTTCCTTAGAGAGGCATGTCCCTTGCCCATAAATAAATAAATAAAACGGAGACACCAAACAAGGGGTGGGAGAAAGGACATGTCCCTTGCCCATAAATAAATAAACAAAGAGTCGTAGAATAAATAAATACAACGGACATCCCAAGCTAGGGCTGGGTCGAGGACAGACACGTCCCCACCTTTGCAGGATTTTGCAAAAGCGAGGGGGGAGGGCGCATCGCCGCGCGGAGAGGGCTGGGCACAGGGTCCAGTGTTGAGCGAGGAGGGAAAAGTTCTTTTTCTCGCGATGTCCACCCCGCCGCTCCCGGCGAAAAAGAAAGAAAGAAAACAGACAACCCAAGGGAGGGATGGGAGGACGGCACGCCGCCCGCTCCCGGCGCGCTAGCTCGCGCGTAGCACCGGATTTCTGTTTTCCACCCCTTCCGGCTCTATCACCACCAAAAAAATGCTCGCCGCGCTGGCTCTGGGCCCCGCCGCTTTCGCCACTCCTGCTTCGAGCCATTCGTGCACTCAGGAGCTCGCAAGCTGGATCAACGCTCACGGCGGGCGCGTTCACCTCGGCGCTGCCACCGTGGCCGGCCTGCGAGGCCTGGTTGCTCAGCGAAGCTCGGCCGTGGGAGACGTTCTGCTCGAGGTGCCACTGGAGTGTGTCCTCTCCACCGCCGGCGACGGCGCGCCGCTGCCGGCAGAGCCACCACCGTGGACCGCGTCGCTGCCGTGGAACGTCCAGCTGGCGCTCAGCGCTCTCGAGCGGGAGCGGGACGAGCACTGGCGGCCGTTCCTCCAGAGCTGGCCTGCAGAGTCGCCGGCCCTCCCGCTGCTCCTCGAGCCCGAGGCGCTCTCCGCCGCGCAGGACGACGCGTTCGAGGCCGACGCCGACGCAGCCTGCTTCTGGCTGCATGAGCAGTACCTCGAGGCGTGCGACGCAGCAGAGGCGGCGGGCCTGGATGCGCCCGCCGAGCCCGCCTTTCGGCGAGCGCTGCAGCTGGTGTGGAGCCGCTGTCTCCGCCTGCGCGCGGGCCCGCACGGCACACGCAGGCTGCTCGTCCCGATGGTAGACCTGGCCAACCACGACGGCGTCGCGCCCGCCGCCCTCTTCGCCTTCTCTGCCGCGGGACGCCGCGGCGCGTGCGTGCGCCTCTACGCCGCGCGCCCTCTGGAAAAGGGGGACGAGGTGACAATCACGTACGGCGACCACCCGAACGCCCACTTTGCGAAGTACTACGGCTTCGTGCCGCGCCACAACCCGCACGACACCGTGTCGGTCGCGCTGCCGCAGCTGCTCGAGCTCTCGGGCGCCGCGCCGCCCTCCGGCGCCTGCTGGGTGGAGACCAGCCAGCGGGTGGCTGCCCTGCTGAGGCTGGGCAGCGCCGGCTGTGTGCTCTCCGCACGCGCCGTTGACGCGCCGTGCGTCCTCGCCTTGCGCGCGGCGCTCGCCACCGAAGCGGAGGCAGCTTACACACACGCACACACACACACACGCACGCACGCACGCACGCACGCACACACGCACGCACACACACACACTCCCCACACACACTCCCCCCCCACACACACACACTCCCCCCCCCCCACACACACTCTCACCACACACACCGCTCACCCACGCGCACTGGGCCTTGCACTTTGAATGCCGTGGGGCTCCTGTCGTCTAGACGTGGAGACGCGAGGGCTAGCCTGGCCCTTGCCCCGCCACCTCGTGTGTGTGTGGAGAAGCTCACCTTCCCTCACCTCTAGGCGGCCCAGCTCGCCGCGAGGCTCGACGCGTATGAGACCTCTGGTCTTGACGACGAGGAGGAGGACGAGGATGAGGACGAGGAGGACGAGGGGGACGGCGAGGCGGAGGCGGTCGTGAGGGTGGCGGAGGTTGTGGCAGCGGCGTGCGCTGGCTTGGAGGCGGCGCACCCGACCAGCCTCGAGGAGGACGAGCGGCTGCTGGAGCAGCAGCAGCAGCAGCAGGCCTCACCCGGCCAGGCGACGGAGGCCGCCACGCCGGACGCGGCTGCGACGCTCCTCTCTCTGCGCGCCTCGCGAAAGCGCCTCCTCTTTCGAGACCCGAGACCGCCGCGCCTCAGCTGCCACTCGCTTAACGATGAACGGACATCCATGCAGGCGCCTGCTTCGAGACCTGCGCGGCTCGATGCTGCAGCTCGCGGTCGCGGGGCCGAGTGGCGCGCCGGCTCGGATGCGCGCGCTGCAGCGCCCGCCGCCCCTCTACCCGCACCTCGAGGCGCTCCCTCCTGGTGCGCTCGAGGCGTGGGCGAGCCGGGCCGCGAGCCGGGCGTCAGATTAGCCTGCCACGCAGTCGTATGTTGCGGAGCACTTGGGGTAAAGCATCGTGATCACCCTCTTTCCTGCTTCAAACAGAGGCTAGCCTACTCCTTGTCATCCGCCCGGACGGAGCCTGTTCGTGGAGAGCCCCCCGCTGCGGCGCTCTCTAGTACCTCACGTGGACACGCGCCCTCGTCGGACTTTTGCCCCGTGTGCCAGAGACACGCACGGACACCGAACTCCGAAACAGAGTCCCCCAGACGAGCAGACAGGCCTCGCTCTCTCGCAGTGCCTCTGAGATCGAGGGTCGCCTCGGCGGGTCACGAGCGCGTGGGTTTGACCTAGAGATCTCTTCCCGTTTTGCGCCGCTGCAGCGGCTCAGAGGGAGGGCCAGGCCGCCACCAGCAGGCACTGCGGTGCAGCAGTTCAGTAAGCCTCCTCCCGCACGCGTGTAGAGGCGCGGTGCGATCCAGCCTCTTCCGGAGGGTCGAAAGCCCTGGGCGCCGGCGCGCTGCAGTGGAGCACGATCCTTATCCGCTGTCAGCGCACGACGCTGTCACTATCCGCGGTCTGGCTCTTCAGCGGCTGCGTCGGCAAGTGGCTAACACGCGCCGGCATGATGGCCCCGCCGGACGTGAAGTAGAGGTTGAGGTCGTCCAGGCGGCAGGCCACCGCGTTAGGTGGCCGCTTCAACCCCGTACGCTCCTCGAGAGTGGCGATGATGAATTCGGGTGCTGGGCCGTCGTTCCTAAGCTCCGTGCCGTCGTCGCAGACGGTGTTGGAGCACCAGATCATGAACCCCATCCTCTGATCGGCGCTGGCGGCCATGGAGCGGTGCGAGTCAGCCGGAGTGCGAATGCGCTGTCTGCTATACTGATAGCCGCGCCACTCCCAGCTGCTCGGTGTGAACAGAGTTCGTACCCGAGCAGCAGGGAGCTCCGCAACTCGAGATCCCTCGAGAGTTCACGCGGAGTCGGCTGGGGCTAAAAAAAAGAGAAGTCTTTTTCTCGCGATGTCCACCCCGCCACTCGCGCCGCCTCGCCTCCGCCTCCACCACCGCCGCTCCCTCGCTGGGCACGCCGCCGCCCGCCCGCCTCCTCGACCTCCCTACGGAGCTCCTCGTCCGCGCCCTCTCTCGCTGCGACAGCCCCGCCGACATCGCTCGCGTCGCGGCCGTCTCGCTCCTCTTCCACGCCTCGCTTGCGGTGGAGGGCATCCGCTTGTGGGCGCAAGAGCGCGGCTTCGAGCTGCCGGCGCAGCCAGAGGACGAGGGCTGCGCCGTGCGGTGGCTGTGCTATTCGGCCTTGCTGCGCGAGTCCAACCCGCCGGTGAGGGCGGCCGCAGGCAGCACGCACAGCGTCTTCATCGACGGCGAGGGGCGGATCTCGTCGTGCGGCTCTCAGCCGTTCTACGCTCCAGGGCGGCTCGGGCACCGGCTCGGGCACGGTGAGGGCGTGACGCAGCTCAACACGCCGACCCGCCTTTCTTCGATGCTGGGTGGCGAGCGCGCCGTGAGTGTGTCGGCTGGACCCGGGCACAGCCTGGCCCTCGCCGCTGACGGTGGTGTCTGGAGCTGGGGCGATGGAGCCGGTGGCAAGCTGGGCCACGGCGACCAGCAGAACCAGCTGCTGCCCAAGAAGATCGAGGCCTTTACTGCCCAGCGCGTCCTCGCTGTTTCGGCGGGAAGCAGACACAGCCTCGCCCTCACCGCCGACAACGCCGTCTGGAGCTGGGGCTATGGAGGCGACGGCCGCTTGGGCCACGGCGACGAGCAGCACGAGCTGCTGCCGAAGAAGATCGAGGCCTTTACTGGCGAGCGCGTCGTCGCTGTGTCGGCTGCCAACCACAGCTTCGCCATCACCGCCGACGGCGCCGTCTGGAGCTGGGGCTGGGGAGACCTAGGCCGGCTGGGCCACGGCGACCGGCAGAGCCAGCTGCTACCCAAGAAGGTCGAGGCCTTGGCGGGGCGGCGCGTCGTCGCTGTGTCTGCTGCACTCGTGCACAGCCTCGCCATCACCGCCGACGGAGCCGTCTGGAGCTGGGGCGGTGGAGCCCATGGCCGGCTGGGCCACGGCGACGGGCAGAACCAGCTGCTGCCAAAGAAGGTCGAGGCCTTGGCTGGTCAGCGCGTCATCGCTGTGTCGGCTGAAGCCGGCCAGAGCTTCGCCCTCTCCGCCGACGGCGTTGTCTGGAGCTGGGGCTATGGAGCTTCTGGCCGCTTGGGCCACGGCGACGAGCTGCGCCAGCTGCTGCCCAAGAAGGTCGAGGCCTTTGCCGGCCAGCGCGTGGTCGCTGTGTCCGCTGGAGCGCACCACAGCCTCGCCATCACCGGCGACGGCGCCTTCTTGACCTGGGGCAAGGGCGAGACCGGCTGCCTGGGCCACGGAGAGGACCTGTCGAACCAGCTGCTGCCCAAGAAGTTCGACGCGTGGGCGCCGGGGCACTGTTCGCAGTGAGGGTAGCCAAGGAGCAAGGTATGTCTCGGGGCGTTTAGATCGAATTTAGAACGGTGAACACCCGTGCTGGGGCGGTGGTGTACGGCTGACTCCCTTCCCGTATAACAATAGGAGCAAAGAACTAAGAAGTAACACAAGAAACACCGCGCACGCGCACACACACGTGTGTGCGCGTGGGGTACAGAGCGGGGAAGAAGCGTCAAGCCACAAGCGTGGAAGAACCCGCTGCACAGAGATCGCATGGCCACGGGCGGGGACCTGTTCCTTTTAACCCATCTCACAGTAGAGCTGTGTACGTTTTTTAAAGCGAAACACAAGCGTCTCGCGTCTGTGCGGTAGCTGTTTACGTCTCTCTCGCGCCAACCCGCAACCGCAACTCACCCACCCCCCTCTGTCTACTCATCCGGCTGGACCCAAGCAGCCGGCGGCAGGCCAAACTGCAAGAGCAGCCGCAGCGGGCCGTCGCTCGTGTCGCCGGGCAGGCGCGGCGCGCGCGTGTAGTCCCGCGTCAGAGCCTCGCCCTCGGCGATGTCGCGCGTCGCCACGAGCAGCACGTCGGCGTCGCCGCCCTCCCTGCCCACCGGGTCCTTCCCGACGAGCTTGGTGTTCTCGCCTAATCTCAGGCCACCTCGGGTCATCTCGCGCAATCTCGCGCCCTTCCCCCGACGAAGCTTGGTGTTCTCGCCGCGCGCGCCGCAGTGCGCGAGGCGCTCGTGCAGCGGCACGACGGCAAAGACCTGAGGTAAGGTGAGGTAAACTTCTCCACACACACAAGGTGGTGGGGCAAGGGCCATGCTAGCCCTCGCGACTCCACGTCTAGACGACAGGAGCCCCACGGCGATCTCGGCTAGATCTCGGCGATCTCTCGCAGACCTCGCCGCCGCCCTCGCCCGCCTCGAGAGTCGTCGCGCGCGAGAGAACGCGCGAGAGGGCGTCGGCGACATCCCACCGCCGCCTGCCGATGGGGGGGGGGGGTTCTGAAGCACGCACTCACCATGCAGACGGTCTCCACTCATGATTGGAGGGGCGCTCTCTCACTCCGTCGACAGCGTGGACTACACAGCGTCACTGTGCCGTCGTGCGGTTTCGGGCCCGGGGCCGTGCTGTTGTGTGAACTGCTCCACCCCTCCCCCCAAGGCCCGCGCCTCTCGTTGGGGGAGCCGGTCTGCCGCGCAGTAGGGGCCGCCACCAGCGCAGCGAGCGGGTCCTGGTGAATAACAATCATGTGTATGCATTAGAGTACTCGGGCCGCCACCAGCGCAGCGAGCGGGTCCTGCATCGCGCGGAAGTTGGAGCCGCGGCACTGGAGCGCGGCGAGCGCGGCGGACTTGTCCGCCCGCGTGAGCGCCGCGAGGCCGAGGCCCGCGCGGTGCACGACCTGAGTAGCAATTGAGATTCCATGACCACACTGCTAATTAGGGGTCGCGAGGCCGAGGCGGACGCACGACCGGGTGGCACGGCATGCGGAACTTGGAGTAGATGGCCGCGTCGTTGTCCGAGCCGGTCGCCAAGAGGCTGCCTATCTCGCTCAATCTCGCCCAATCTCGCCCAATCTCGCCAAGAGGCTGCCTGCGAGTAGACCTCATCGGGTGGCCACTCTCGCTCAATCTCGCTCAATCTCGCCGAGAGGCTGCCTGTGACGTCGCGCGGGCCCCAGCGGACCTACCAGTGTGGCTTTAGCCTCGTCGCGGCGCAGAGCTCGGCCTCATCTCAGCCTCATCTCAGCCTCATCTCAGCCTCATCTCAGCCTCGTCTCGGCCGCTTCTCGGCTGTCGCTCACGGCTGCGTCTCGGGTGTGCCGCGGATGTGCCTCTCTCGGCCGTGCCTCGCCTCGTCGTTGCCGAGGTCTGCGCCGTCGCCCCATCCGCCCGCCTCCCAAGAGCTCACCCACTCCTTCAGAGCCGCCGCCTGCTCATCCTCCGCTCCGCTCTCGTGCATCGCCAGCAGGGCGGCCGCCGTAAGCTCCGACGCCCAGGTCGGATCTCGGCCGCCCGCCGCGGCCGCGGCGCGCGCCGCGTCGCAGGGAGCCAGCACCAGCCCGCGGGGAATGCGCGCGATGGTCTCCATGCACGAAATAGGCGCCGCGGCGAGTATGCCGCCCTTGCCGCGCTCCTCTGGCAGAGGCGGCCGGACGGAGAGCTTGGGAGCGATGACGCCGCCGGGTACGGCGGTCGACAGCGGCGTTACTGCGCCTGCCGCGGGCAGCAGTGCGAGGAGAAGGCCCATAATAATGTGCGTCCGAGTGCCCGGGCAGCTACCTGGCGAGTAGAGGCACACGCACGCACTCTCGAGGTCTCTTGGAGCAGAGCCCCGGCGAGCCCTCGAGAGTGGGTCCCTCGGAGGGGTACCCTGGGTGGGCGGGGCCTCTACTCGCCAGGGCAGCTACAACTCCAGCTAGCGGGGGAAAAGAATGCGCAATCTCTGTGTGGTGGCGGCGTGCCGTCCTCCCATCCCTCCCTTGCGCGCAACTAAAGGTACGCGCCAGTCCCTTAAGGGAAAAATATTTTTGAGCCGGAAATTAGGCGGCGAAAAGCTTGCCCAGACATCACATAAATAG